TCGACCAGATGACAAGAACAAACAGTACCAGGACGTCGTTCGCCAAGGCGATCAGCTGATTACAAAGCTGCAGAAGTACGGTCAAGCTGTCAGATTGAGGGGCAGCGAGAGGGCATAGATGGAGCGATGAACTTGACTGGAAGAGGATTTTTATTGGCGTATGCTATGTCACATAGGTCGGGGTTTCTGAGTCTGGCTGGACTGATACAGAAAGGGAAGAATAGGGCAAACATGCCACTAGCTGCTGTATGAATATAAATCAAGATTTCTTTGGTAAGCTGCATGGAATATTTGGGCACGATATCTCAAAAGACGTCGGATCTAGGATCCAGCAGCGTCGAAAACACACCAGACTCTTGTTACGCAGCCACAACAACCACTCTGCTTCTTCCCGTTCAACATGTCCCTCAAACGAAATCAGTACACCTGGCCCTCCAGTCCAACCGACGCACCGTCTGCACAGGAATCCACGACGATTTCATCCGCGCCTCCCTTGACGGGACTCATCCCGCCGAGGTTAGACTCGGACACGTTCACTAGTGCCCTGGGAAAATGTGCCCCCCCGCGAGTCAACTTGGTCATGGACGGACCAGTATCACCTGCCCGTGACGGCACGAGCTCCCGTACTGTTGGTGTAATTGAATTTGCAAGAGTTCTATTGTATGCAATTCTGTAGTTGCCCCAGTTTGGTCACTAGGAAGCACCCGTCGACGGTCGAATCGGGTTGAGATATTTGGCTAATGCGGTCCTCTGCCTCGGGATCCGTTTATTCAGATTGTAGTTTATATATAAACAAAAAAACACGGCCCAAAGTCTTGTCACCTCTAGCTAAATGCAGTGCGAGAATGTCCAAGTGCAACTTGTAAATCAAGCCCAAATCAGTGTGCCCTAACTCTCGAATGCTATCCTGAGCCCCTTATATTCCTTGTGCTGAACATGGCTCTCCATCTTAGATTTTTTTTTTTGTTTTTTTGGTTCGCTCACAGGCGTTTACCTGTACTTGTCCATAAACTCCTTGTGGAACTTGACAATACCAGCAACCCATTCCGTACCAGGCGCAAGGAAAGTAGTTCGGAAGTGGAGCGTGCCCTCCTTCTGACCGAAGCCGGACCCAGGAACAACACAGACACCTGTGGCCTCGAGCAATCTCAGGCAGTAGAATTCGTCGGCGGTGCGCTTTTCGGCGGCGGCGGCTTCGTGAGCCTTTGCAGGTAACTGGATGGTGGGGAAGAGGTACATGGCACCTTGGGGCTCAGCACATTCGACACCTTCCATCTGGCTGAAGGCCTTGTGGAGAGCGGAAGCGCGCTCGCGGAGTCCCTCATGGATGCCAGAGTACTCCTGGCTGTAGAGCTCGTATGATGGCTCACCAGGCTTGGGTGGGTTCACCATGAGCTCGACGAGGCACTGGCCGATGACGGGAGCGCAGAGCATAATGGAGACAAACTTGTAGATTTGGGCCTCAACCTCGGGATCGAAGCCAACAAGCTCAAAGTAACCACCACGGTGGCCGCACTCGCCAACCATGCCCTTCGAAATGCTGTGTAGTGAAGCAAGTTCGACACCATCGTATTTGCCGGGGTTCTCCTTTTGCAACTTGCGCAGAACGCTCTTGAAGCTATGGAATTGGCCAATGAAGACGTTGGTCTGGTACACCTCGTCGGCCATGATGACGAGGTTCTCCTGTCGAGCAAAGTCGATTACGGACCTAACGTCCTCCTCGGAGAGGGAAGCACCGGTAGGGTTGCCAGGGTTGATAATGACAATGCAGCGGACATCGAGACCGTCAGCCTTGCCCTTTTCGTAGGCGGCTTTGATGGTTTCAAAGCTGGTCCCCCAAGCCTTGGACTCATCCAGATAGTATGGGACGGCCTGGGCATCCAGAAGGGACAGAGTGGCGCTGTAAAGAGGGTACTGAGGAATGGGAATCATGATACCCGACTTCTTGTCGGCGCAGATGACGTGGAGAAGAGTGTTGACACCAGATGAGGCACCAGTCGAGAGGTAGATCTTGGTAGGGTCAGCAGGAAAGCCATCGCGACCTGCCGAGTGTTAGTATTTCCCAATCTCAGACATATGGTGCTGGAAGAATCCCGGCAAGCGGCGATTGGAACCGGAAACCAGAACGATTTGGCAGAAAGAGGACAGCAAGTTAGAAATTCAGGAAAAAAAAAAAAACTTACGCTCCAGGAAAGCAGCAATGCTCTCCTTGATAGCAGGGGCACCAGCACTGGCACTGTATGCACCAACAGAGCCGACCTGCTTTAGCAACCATTTGGCACGCTCAATAACATCAGTCTTGTAGCCAAGACCATTGATTAAAACGTCCTCCTTCTTGAGAAGTTCAGGGTTTTCCAGCAAGCTGAGAACTTGGCGGAAAAAGGTAATTGGTTTCTGGTCGAGCTGCTGGGGGTTTCCGATGTTGGCCGAGATGACCTGATCAAAGGGCAGGGTGGTGTCACCGTCCTTGAGACGAGCGCGGTACTCCTCGGACTTGACGGCGAGCTCGCCACGAACGGCGTACTGGGCACGCACGACGTGCTCGTTGATGTTATCGCGGGTCAATCTCATTGTCGACAAATGGCGGCGGTGTTGTTGCTGATGCAAATGTAAACGGCGGTGGAGGGGTGATGATGACTTGAGGATGTTTGGCGGGGCACTAGCGGGCAAAAAAAGTTGACGAGGGGCAGCTTCTGCATGCAACTGTGTCAGACCTTGGTTTGGTATTCAGTTTGGAAGGAGAAAGAAGAAAGAAACAAAGCAAGCTGATTGCGTGAAAAAAATAATATTAATCAAGTGTCAAAGGCGCAATGACCAGAACGCTGGGGAGCCGGATGAGCATCTCGAACATGCTGGCACCGGCAGGGACTGACATGGCATGGCTCGACTTGGGGGAGAAACCCAAGCTATTACACGACCGAAATAGTCATTCGTCCCTTTTTCGCCCGATCATGGCGCCACAACATGTCTGGTTGGTACGAAGTACGTTATATCGCGCGTCTCCCAGTGCTGTGGGGCGGTTTCTGGAGCCGGACATCAACCCACGGGCCACGGCCATCAACATCAACGCATTCAGCGGCGCAGTCCTCCGGTGCGGGAGCGGCGTCTGCTGGTGTCTGCCATCAATTGATCTGTGTCATTATCCTCCAGCGGTGGTGTCCGAGACCGGGGACACCCGCGACCGGCCAAGTGAGGAGGGCCCTGAGATGCATTTCAGAGCACACAATGTCGCTCGCTCGTCTCTGTCCAACGCGGCAACCAAAAGAGAATCCAAGCTTGTGGAGGAGAGAAGAAGGGGAGTCCAATCTTTTCGTCTTACCCGAACTGTGGTATCCGGCACGCAGCACAGCATGGCTGGTCCCCCGTACCACTGATAAATGCCTCTGCCTCGTCGCAAAGCTCATTCTGCTGCCGATTCTGGTCCAAGTTGAACCGTGATTCGGTCCTCCGACGTCCAGATTCTAGTGTTGGGCGATGGCTGTGTACGGTGCAGAAAGCCGGAAGGAAAGATTTCGTCGGTCTTTGCGTCGCGGAATGGTTAGTTGCCGAGACCAAAGTCCATGTCAGACACAGACAGGCTGCCCGGGGCTTTTACTCGGTCTAATTTCAAGCATTTTACCCATTGCTACCGAACACTCACTCACTCGCTGACTGGGATTTCAAAGAGGATTGGGAAGTCTGCCACTGAGTATTGCTGCTAGTTACTGTACAGCCCCAGCAATACCTATAGTTACCTACTTAGTAGTAGTAGTCATTAACCTGACATCAAAGGATACACGCATTATGTATTGCTAGTACTCCGTACACGCTGGTTTACTCTAGTACCTTGACACTCCACCCTGCCTTCCTCACCACATGGCGCTCCTCAGGACCGTCGAGACACGGTCTTGTCCTTGTCCTTAGCCTTCTCCCGCCTTGGCACCATACAACTCTAAGACTGCGCCTCGTTTTCTAGATGGCCTGGATTACAGCCCGTGGCAGAATATATTTACCTATTAAGTAATATATATAAGTATGCTTTTTAAGTATTCTTTGTTTTATTTTTAAAGATAACTGATAATATAAGCAATCCAAATATCGTGCAAGCTTGCATCTGGAAACACAATGCTGGGTTAGGGTCCACACAGTCACGTGTGAGGCACTATATCACTGTTGCTATGCCGGCTCCTTCTAACTAGCTCTTTCCTTTCACATCATGATCAAGCTTTTCTTTTTTCTAGCTCCTTTGTAATCCAACTTGTTAGTTGCATCACGAGCTCTTGTGGCCTTTTTTCGTAGATCCCTCCGTGCGGTCCCTCACATGTCGGGCCGTACCAAGCCAAAAACCAGTCAGAAACAAGAGAATACACGGTCTGCGCACCGATATACGAGTATGTTGCAGTATTTTAGAGCATATTAAACAAATTATGGCGTGATAAATCTACTTTTGCCAGGAGGAATTCTATTTTTAATTACACTAAAATATAGTAAATTATATTTATAGTATTAAGCATAAAGCGTGACTGGTAAGTACTTGGTCTAGTCAGATCCTTTTGCGTCCCACTAATATTCACTAGAATATAGTGCCACCAGACTTTTTACAACACCCAAAAACCCTGATCGAAGTTAACCTCAAGCTGGGTTTACACTATAGAATATTACAACGCTACTCTGGGCGGCGCCAACAGCGGTACCGGACTAGCTTGCAGACCGAAAATGCGCCGGCCCCGTCTAGGCTATGGCTGTAAAGAAAAATCATGGTAGTAGGTTAAGCCTCCTTGGTTTTTCTGAAATCAGCTGCGGCCATGTGGGTATATGTGAAGATTAAACAAGTAAGGGAGGGGGGGCGCCGGCCAGCTAGCAATCAGGACAATAACGTATAAATAGTACAACTCTTCTCCTTTTTGGTTGATTAAGCACTCGATTTATCGGGCCTCGTCATCGCATATGCTTCTGGCACATGATTCAATATGAAATATCACTGGCTTTTGCCACTCGTGTGGCTCTGCATCAGTTCTGCCATGCCGGTATATTCCAAATCGAAATGGCTTACCGATGCTAGTTCCAGTAAGTTTGCTGTTTACACCCCAGCGGTTCATCTCAGTTACTTATGCTGACCACCAACAAAGAGTATGTTGTTAACGGGACGGCGATCCCCGATATTGACTTTGACATTGGAGAGTCGTATGCCGGTCTGTTGCCCGTAACGACTGAGCGTGATGAAACGGACCAGTTGTACTTTTGGTTCTTCCCTACCTCCACCAGGGAATTCGGGAAAAAGAAGGAGATTGTCATTTGGCTAGGCGGTGGTGTAAGTCGCCCACAATTTCCACACGACATGGCAGCTGGCCTCTTGTGGCATCAGCTAGTAACTCATCTGCTCTTAGCCCGGCTGCTCTTCCCTCTTCGGCCTCTCCCGCGAGAACGGTCCGTTTCTGTGGAAGCCTGGCATGAAGAAGCCGCTCAAGAATCCTTGGGCGTTCAATACCTTGACCAACGTGGTTTGGGTCGACCAGCCTGTGACGACGGGGTTTGCCAGGGGCAAGGCTACCGCGAAAAATGACGACGAGGTTGCAAAGCAGTTCCTGGGCTTCTGGCAGAACTTTGTCAACGTCTTTGCCGACATCAGGCGGTACGACATTTATATTGCGACCGAGTCGTACGGCGGCATGTACGGTCCACACATTGCCAAACACTTTATCAAGAATCCGTTCTACATCTTCAAGGGTCTACTGATATACGACGGCATCATGTTTGACCGCCACATTCAAACCAACGTGGTGGTGAACAGCTTCACAGACATGAACCGCGACAACTTGCCCGTTGACGAAGAAACTCGGCAGCAGTGGCACAATACTGCCCACGACTGCAACTTCACGTCATACGAGAAGAAATATCTGCAGTACCCTCCTCATGGCCCGCAGCCCACACAACTCCCTGGCTATGAGGAAGGCGCCGAAGGGTTTGTCTTTCCTCGCCAGGCCTGCGTTAATTTTTTTACCACCGTCTTTGACAAAATTACGGAGGTGAACCCGTGCGCCTCCATGTACAACATCATGAGCAAGTGTCCGCCTCAGTTTGACCCCATCAAGGGCAGCGACGCGCCCTGGTTCGACCGACAGGACGTCAAGGCGGCCATCAACGCGCCTATGGATGTGGAGTGGGTGCCGTGCCGGGACAAGGTCTTTGCAAACGCGAGAGACGAATCGCCTCCGTCTAGCCGGGATGTCTTGCCGTTTGTTATTGACGCGACGCAAAACGTCATTATTGCGCATGGCGCCATGGATTTTTACCTGCCAATGAATGGTGTCCTCTTGGGAATTCAGGGCATGACTTGGGGTTACGAGATGGGATTCCAAAAAGCACCCGAGGAGCCCTTCATTGTTCCAAGGTACAACGACGGGCCTGCTTCCAGCAGCTACGCGCACGACTTGCCGTCTGGCACGGGCGTCATCGGCACAACCCATCATGAACGCGGTCTCACATTCGTGGCTACCAAGCTGGCGGGCCACGAGGGTTCTGGCGATTCTCCCGCCGGTGCCTTGCGCCATCTTGAAAAACTCACGGGTTGGGTCAACGCCTTGTCTTCCCATGCGCCCTTTACACTTCCGGAAATTCGCATTGTCCCGCAACCTCCTGGGGAGGTCTCCAAGGGCATTGTTCCCATTCCCTGTTTTAGCAGTAGCTGTTGAGGCTCCAAGTAAACGGGACCGTATTACAATGGAACTGCGCAGTGTGGTTAGTAAAGCAGAGGAGGAAATTCTCGCGACTCGGATGAATGGGAAGCGACGCCGAATCGAGGCGGGTCAGCTTCATGCATTATCAAATGCGGCCCGGGGCTTTCGGATGACGGATCAGCGAGGACCTTGGCGTACACCTGCGGCTGCATCTACGTAGTCTGTGGCAGAATATATTTGCCCACGGAGAAGTATACACTAGTATACTATAGTATTGATGATATGCAACGCGATAGTCAGGCACTTGGTGTCAATGGTCAAACACGTTTTGCCTCTCACTGTACAATCTGCCTCCTTAGTAGCTAGGAGGTGAGATTTGAACATGGAGCCACGGCACTCCCGTGCTGTCGTGCTGCCGTGCTACTGCCGTGTCGTGTCCGCATCTGGGGCTTCGTTGGCCATTTCACTATTCGGGGGAAGAAAAAGACGACGAGGTCTGGTCGAGATGCCGTATCACCTCCAAGGGGCATTATTCGCTTCCGCCTGCTTCCGCCTGCTGTTGCCAAGTGCCAGTGCCTAGGTATTCGCACCGGGTGTAGACGGCGCGTTGGAGCCATCCCGCTGCCGAATGCCGCCGATCCGACGACCCAAGCAAATATTGGGAGCGGAAGCTACCAGACATGATGCCGTTTCCAAGCCGCCTCCTGCAGCCCGCAACCCGAAACCCCGCCGTGTTTAGTCTTCTCGGATTGACAGCAAGAACCCTTACCCACCCAGCCTTCACCAGCCAGCCGGCTCGGGGCCACCTTTCGCCGGCGAGCTTGGCCCAGGGTCCCGATCTTTTGCCTCAACAGCTTCCCAACTGCACGACAAATCACGGGCCAGATTCCCAATCTATCCGCCGCTCACACATCAATCACCCCCCTCATCTGCAACAATGGCCAAGAAAGGTATGATACTCCCTTTGATTCGGCTCCTCTATCCCTCTGCATCGATTGGGTACAGCTTGCTCGCCGAATCAAGAGTATTTTACTAACGTCTACATTCTTCACATCATAGCCAAGGCGCGATTGATCAATGTCCGTCTTCTCTCCATGGCCATGACAGGTTTCTTTTACACCTTCAAGAGACCACGAACGGCGCCTCTCATGGGCATGATGAAATACGATCCAATCGGTACGAACACGACCCTCTCGCATTTCGACTACCTACCAAGTGACCGGCTTAGAGCAATTCGCTAACGTATTCTCGCGACCATGCAGTCCGCAAAAAAGTTCTCTTCCTCGAAACGAAAAAGAGGTCAAAGTAAACAGGCCAATACGTCCAAAAATTACAGTTTGACTATTTCCAATCATTACCTGCCGCAACCGGGGTTGGATTATAGTATTTGCTGAACCGTCCGGGGCAGACCGATTGCGCCGGCGCTGTATATCACACATGATGGGCATTTTTGGAGTTTGGGGATGTGCTTGCAGCCTGCTGCGGTAATGAACTCATTTCCGCACTGTACGATTATAAACTATTTTCCATGATCTAGATACATACATCTATACCACGAAATCTCACATGATACCGACTTCCAAACTGTGAAGCAAAGCAAAAGTCGACGCCCTGTGCTACATGGCCCCGTTTTATACGTCGAGTGAAGGCATTTGAAGTTGGATAGGTAGAATCATTAGCTGGCCTGGTGAAGTTTGATCCCGTCGCCATGAATAATTTCTGGGTCGCTGTACAACTTCCAGTCCTGTGTTTGCCCTAGTTGTTGAGTACGGTTTTTGGTGCCTTCAGGTCTTTGTCCTTCGACAAACCCATCGCTGGGTCCTCGATACTAATTTCATTCTTCAAATCACTTATCAATTTGACGCGTTTGAGTTTTGGACATTCGCCGCCATCTAGCTTGAACTTGCGTTTCTGCGATATGACTTGACTGGGTACAACCTTGAGATGGGGTTGAAAGTCTGTAACTCTTGGTAGATTAAAGAAAGTCTCTTCTGACTTGTCTGTAACGAAACCAGAAGAGATATCGGCTATTATTTTCTGACTGGCCGCACTTGCACTGCTGATAGTCGTGGTTGTCTTTCTACTCTCTAGTATTGGGCCTAATTCGGTTTCCGTTTCGTTGCTCTGGTGCTGCGCAGTAATCGATTCTTGCGATGAGAATAAGCTATTTGCCTTCAAAATGGGACGCACTGCCATCGAAATTCTTCGTCGCTTCTGCTCCTGTTCAATGGAAGGTGGTGACGAGGGAGAGTGAGCTTCAGTAGGGCTTTGAACTTGAACTCTCTTTGGCCCGAACTCTGAATTGTTATTCTGGGTTGTAAGAACCTCATCATTATCAGTACTTAATATTCTGTCGTTTTTTGAGTTTTCGCTGTGGTTGTAGTTTGGATCCATTAGTTGACCGGGTTGAAGCTGGTCTATAGTCCGTGGCGGAGTGACCACATTGCTATTAACCTGAGGGAGATTGATTCCCAACTGTTGTTTAACCCAAGTTTCCTGTTTTCCAAGATCAGTCGATGCAGAATCAAGCATGCTGCTGACTCGTGAAAACTTTGCCAGTTGCTCGCTACATCCATCAATCTGCGATGGCAACTGTTGAAGGGTTTTCAACTTTGATCTAATTGAGTCGACTATTTGGATATCAGAATGCCATCTTTTCTGAAGATCGGTAGTTTTCGAGACTTCTTTCTCCAGCTGCAAAATCTTGTCTTGCAGAGATGCTGCTGCGTCATTTTGTTCATCGTGCTGGCTAGGTTTCCCCTGGTTCGCCACTCTTGCCTCAGACCGTACCAAGTGTTCACTTATTGAGACAACAAGGCCTTCTAGGCCAGCAAGTAATCTCTGGGTTTCTTCAGGGCTATACCCGGAATTCAATCTCTCCAAATGCAGGTTCTGGTCCAGCGAGGGCTGAACGCGGCCTTTGATTTGCTGCCATGCAGCTTTAGTCTCATCGTCTCTGGTTGCCATTGTAGTGTTGAGGGAATCAAGTTTTGAAAGGCACGTGTGTCCAGACGCAATTACGATTTTCTCCAAGTCCTCAGTCCTGTCATTACCTTCATTTAGCAGACGAAAAACATCTTTTTTCCATGAATCTCGCTCCGCGTTGACGACGTCCCGCTCTTTAGTAAACCATGTGGTCATTTCTTCACCAATGTGCTGGCAAAGCTCTCGGTTTGAAGTGACATCACCATGCACAGTGTCAAGTTTCCGGATAGAGTCGTAAATTTCAGCTGAAAATTGGTCTTGCATATTTGTCTGCTGCTTAGTCAAGTCGCTCAAGGCAGTACGCATGAATTCGAGTTCCGCCTGGCAGTCATTTCTGATACCCACGAGCGTCTCATATGTGCAGCTTTGTGCGCCACCAATATCGGTAAGTGCAGAGAATACACTACAAATTAGTATTCGAAAGAAAGGGTTAAGAAGAGTGCTCACTCCGTTGAGATTAGCTCGTGGAGACCTTCCACCAAGGAGCTCATGCCAATCTCCTTGGACGCATTGCTTGCAAGGCCCTTCACTAGTACTTCGAGATTTTGTAGTCTGTCCAAAGTCAGTGACAAATATTGTGAACTGAATTCTACTAGCTGACCTGCGACAAACGCTTTCAGATAGCTCAAGCTGCTGAGCCTGATCAACAGTATTTGCAGAGATCGATTCGTGCAATGACTTGACAGTGTTTACTAGATCTTGTACCTCATCGCTTTGAAGTGGTTTCACCGACATGATTTGGTTCCGTAGGTCGCTCGAAATTTGCCTCTCGGTACAAAGAGCTTGCTCCTGCGCCGATATTCTCTCCTGGAGACGCGCGATCTCTTCGCCTCCTGCCGTGATGTTAGTAAACAAAGAACATGTCATGAGAAGTGAAATATGGATTCAGCTGCATACTGGCTTCTACTTCTTTCTCTAGGCTAGATCGCAATTCGTCCAAGCAGTGCTTCATTTGCTCTCTCTTCTCGCGACTATTGGTGAGAGCTGTTTCGATTGCCTTTGACTCAGCTACTCGTGTTTCATTTTCCTGCCGAAGTTTTTGGATCGAATCATGATAGAACTCTTTGGCTTGTAAAAATAATCGTTGCTGTTCTAAGATGGCCTCGTTGAGTTTTGTGCGATAGGTCCTGGATTTTTCGGTGAGAATAGCGTCTCGTTCCTTCGTCGAGCGTAATTCTTCTTGCGTGGTGGAAAGCCTCTGTGATAACGTCGAGTTTTCGAGTAGAACCTCTGCAACCTTCTCTTCAGAGTGTTTTAATTTTTGCTCAGAGTCCTTGCGCCCGGCCTGTTCATTGTCTAACTGATGGCGAGCTTCCGTTAACTTGGCGTACTGTCGACGAAGATCCTCTCGTAGCTGGTCTATTTCCAGTCTAGCCTGAGCCTTCTCCTCTTCCGCAATATTGATACACTCGTTCCAGTGCTGTGCGACTTGTTGCATAAGCATCTTCTTTCGCCCAGGTTCTTGTTGAGATCGATGCTTGTTTACGCCGCTTCTCTTTCTGGAGATGTTGCTCGTGCGGGAGGACCCCGAACGATGGGAAAAATCTCCATCGGAAGCATTTGCACCAAAAAGCTCTTCTGGCTGAGGAATCAATTCATGGTGTTCGTCACTGAGTGGATGGCGTGACTTGTTGGGTGTGACACGGTATGGACCTTCTAAGTCACCACAAGTACTGACGGATGATGGACGGGGTTGGCATTGGTCTTTTCTTGTATTGGTGATATTTGTTGGGCGGTCCCCACGAGAGTTGTCCTTGGAGTACCTTGCATTGACCAATATGGGCAATTCGTCGGATAGTTTCTTTGGGCTGGCTTGAGCTGACATTGTTAGGTTTGGCAGACGATGTTTGGCTTGAACCGGCTTTTTCTCTTGCTGCTTCCCTGCAAAGTCATTGATTTTAGGACGATTCAGTGCTTGGTGTTGCCAAAGAAACCCGGGGTCTTCTTGGACAGGACACTGGTCCACAGTATTCATGGCAGTGGAAGAGAAGTAAGGCGCCTTGTCAGTGTGAGCTACAGGGGCTTTTGGA